ACGATTACAAAGAAACAGTATAACTAATACTTTCTTAGATTTACGCGAATATTTGACATTTTAAATAAAACTATCTTTTCGGATTTTGTCGCGGATTTATTTGGATTTTTGTTTCCCGACGTTTCGAATGCTTTACAGCATCCATGGTCACGGGAGAGACTGAGGTGTTACATGTCTTGAATGTATAGTTGTTACAGACAGCCTACCCACAATTAACAAAATGAAAATTGCACCAATTACATTACAATATTTTTTAACTTTAAACATTTTTATAATTTTAATTATAATTGAATATGGAAAATTATTTATTTAATTTTGCTATTATTTTTGTAATTATTACAATTTTAAAATATTAATTAGTAATCTATATTTAGTGTTGCCATTATTATATTTATAACCATAAAGAAAAATATAAAATGTAGTATTAATTATTAAAGCCATATAATTGTTCTATGTGTAATTTAAAAAGTTAAAATTAATTAAGGATAATAATTTTAATTTAGTTTGCTATTATTTAAAAACAACTTACTAAGCAACACTATTAATATATACTTTTACAAATGAAAAATGAAAAATATTAGTCTGATAAGCTGTCATTTTGATCTACACAGTATGAACTTACTACATCTGCCTGTCTGTTATGTTTATATTTATTATTTGATTTTATTATATTAATAACAGGATCCCATGACGATGGTAGTACCCAGCCATCTTCCCTATTGAAATTAGGATGTTTTTTAATTTCTATGGCTTCTCGAATCATTCTAGGGCGATATCGGTTTTCTTTCGCCAGGATTTGAGGTCTATCGAAGCGAATATAATGGCTTGGGCGGTCCTGACTATGTTTGCAGACAGCAGATGTTGTATTGCGACGGTGCTTCACATCAGCTATGTGTTCTTTGACCCGGGTTCTAATGGATCTCTTTGTTTGTCCGATGTAAGAGAGCCCACAATCACAATCAAGCTTGTAAACTCCTGCATCTTGTAGAGGGATGTGGCACTTGACAGGTGGTAGAAACTGACTAATTTTCTTTGGCGGCTTGAAGTAAGTTTTAATTGAAGCTCGCTTTAGAATGTAGCCAATCTTGTCAGTGACGCCTCTCATGTAAGGTAGGACTGCAGGGACGCGCTCGACTGTGGCTGGTTTCACTCGGTCCCTGTGACGTAGGCGCGGCACTTGCAGCTTGTTGTCTCGCAGAACTTGCTTGACATGTTACAGCTCTCCGGCCAGGTGTTGCTCGTCACAGATCCCGCGTGCCCTCTGAAACAAAGATTTTCCCACGGTAGCTAACTGTGAAGGAGTGGTGGTGAGATTCACCATTCAAGTACCTATCAGTATGTGTCTTCTTTCGATACACAGTATGACTTAAGGTGTTATCTGGGTTACGTATAACTAATACATCTAAGAAAGCTAAAGAATTATTAGACTCCAATTCCATTGTAAATTGTATTTTAGGGTTCATGGAGTTAAGATGTTCTAAGAATACAGATATTTTATCAGATGTTGATGTGCACCTCATGTTGGTGACCTCGTTCTGGTTAAGGACGCTAACTCACCGCCACTGTGTTGGCGCAGAGGGCGCATTCTTAACCTTGTCTTTGGAGCAGATGGAGTGCCCCGTTTTGCTGAGGTCCGTGTGGACGGTTCTGTTCTGAAGAGAGCGGTATCAACCTTGTCATGACTGCCAGTAAATTAGCGGCCAGGTAGTCCTGGCCGAGGCGGGTAGATGTTATGAACCAAACTATTGTATGCGCACGCAAAACCCTAAGAGTCTGTGTCACATCATTTTGACTTGACAGTGACAACTGTCACTTCGCCAATGTTGCGCCGGCGACCCCGGCGGTCGCCCTTGCCGTTTGACCTTTTGAAAATATACGCCGCGTGTTTGATTCATCTCGGGAATTTTGCCCTTTTTTTGTGATGGTTTTGTGTGCGGCATATCTAAGATTGGATTGTTGAATAAGACGTGTAAATAACATATTGATAATTGTAATTTTGATGAGCACGGGCCCGTTTTGAGTGCATAATTGAATCGCCCACGTGCCGACGTAAAACTTGTGAAATAAGAATCAATTGACTTTATTTTGAACTTATATGAAAGTGAACTGACAATTCAGTGTAAACTTGTGCGTATTTGAGTGCCTACGCCGTATGTCGGCCTTCTAGGCGCATCCTGGAGCATCTTCATCCTGCCACCTTCAGTTGAGTATAATCAGTTAGCATTAGACGTTATGATTGGCCAATTGTAGTTTAATGGTAATTAGATTTATACCTAAGGCAGCATCATTGAAGGAGAAGAACGCAAGGTACTTTTTTTTGATATATATAAGCGCTGTGTATCGCAGTCATATGTTCGTCCCCCTTGAACCTGGAGACATTTCACGCTTCCACTCATCACTCTGGTAAAACCCCAGGTCGGATGTAACATCTTTTGGTAGCAGAGCGTAGTTTGGTTATAGATATTAAATGTATTGTATACGCTCGCTACTTTGTGTAAAATTAATTACAAGTTATTGTTACTGAACTACTTAAGATTTCAATTTTATATGAAACAATTCATACTCTTTAAATGTGTATGTAGATATTGTAAAAGCTCAAACATAAAGTTTATTATTAAACTTATATAATTGTTTGTATTAATGATTTTAAAGTTAACTTGTTGATAAAATACTTCAATTTGATTCATACATATGCAGTATTTGGGTTACTTAAAGTAAATTTAGTAATTTGTTATTTTAAACATAGTTTTACAAATTGCAGTATATTAATAATTAAACTTTAAAAAATTAGTATTGTTTTTTTTTGTTGTACTTGTTGTTGCTCAGTTTATTATAAAATATAATAACTTTATAATAAAAATATAAATTAAACTGTACTTAAAATAAATATAAATATAAGTAATTTGAATCACAATTTGTTTGAACATTTGCCTCAAGGATTTGTTTTATGTTTTTTTTGTACTGCTATTTAGGTATATTTTTGAGATTTGATATTTATTTAAATTGATAACACTATTGTCTCATTTGAAAGTTATAACTTTTTTGTTGTTGTTATTACAATATTATTCTGTTTTGTTTGCTTGTGTCCTTGTGTTTTTGAAGATGGCTGCCGCCGCATTCACTATTGTCCGTGACTCATATTCCGGGATTGTGGCTCACCTGAGATGGTTCACTTCCGCTGCCGCATTGGTGAATAGGGAGGATCGTACAGAGGCATTGTTGGATAGGCATGAGAAATGCCCTACACGACTCAAGGAGGTGGAGGAACATTATCAGCGCTTCATCTCACATTTGGATGATGTACCTCTGGAGTCATTCCCGGAGCATCGGCGGGAACAAGTCCATGAGGACTACACCCAGATTATGAACCTGGCCGACGACATCGCCCAACGCGCGCGAGAGGTTTTAGCCTCGCGTGCCGGAGTACCGCCTCACAGCTCTCCCTTGAAAACTCCCGTGGGCCTTTTGACAAAGCTACCCAATTTAGATCTTCCACGTTTTGATGGTCGGTTAGACACGTGGCTGGGATTCATTGGATTGTTCGAGAGTCTTGTAGATTCCAGGGACCATTTGGGCCCGTCTCAAAAGTTGGCCTATCTGCTCTCTGTGCTCGATGGAGAGGCGAGGGGCTTAGTGCAGCACCTCCCAATACGTGACGGGAGCTATGAAGTCGCGCGATCATTGCTCACCAAGCGCTACCACAATGAGCGCTGCCTGGCCGATGCCCATATCGACCAGATTATGGACCTTCCCGTCGTGAGCAATACCGCCCAGTTGAGGACCGAGCTGCTCAACCCCCTCCTAATAGCCACTAACTCTCTCCACCGCTTGGGACTGCCCGTTGCCCAGTGGTCTTATTTTCTGGTGCGTATCGTACTTAAGCGGTTGCCGGTGTCCCTGAGGGCACGTTTTGAACAGGGGCACGCTAGGGATGAGGCTTCTCCTCTCCCTACCTTTGAACAGCTCCTGACCTTCCTGGAGGATGAGTGTCGCATGGGTGACGTTATGGTCACCTCTACACCGGTGGGAGCATCAAGTCCCAGCCCCACCAACCAACGGCGCACTGCTTATACTGCGCCAAGGGGAAAAATGACTCCCCGCTTTGCTGTCGCTCAGGCCGCACGACCGGACTGCCGATTTTGTAAGTCCCAGGGGCACAAAACGGCGAAGTGCCCGGAATTTGCAGCGCTGCATGTGGCCGCTCGTAGGCGGATTGCTCAGGCCCGAGGCTGGTGTTTCTCATGCCTAGGGGACCATTATCAGCGCGCCTGCCCCGACACGCACCCGTGTCCTGTTTGCAGAGGGCAGCACTTGAAACTGCTGTGTGCCAACGCGAATGGCCGCCGCGACCACGCGGGGTCGCCTTCGGGCGGGTATGTGAGCGGACGCCGGGACCAGTCCCGCAGTTTTGAGTCCGGCTCATCCCCCACACGCCGCGCAGATTGCGCTGCCGTTGATCGCCGACATGGTTCGGTGCGCAGCCCCACGGGCGGGTATGTGAGCGGACGCCGGGACCAGTCCTGCAGTTGTGAGTCCGGCTCACCCCCCCCTCGCCGCGCAGATTGTGCTGCCGTTGACCGCCGTCATGGTTCGGCGTGCAGCCCCACGGGCGGGTATTTGAGTGGACGCCGGGACCAATCCCGCAGTTTTGAGTCCCGTTCGCCCCCCTTGCCCTCGCGTGACCAATCAAGGTCACCTCAGGTCGTGTACCACGATTATTGTGATGTAAGTCCGGTACGACGGCCATCCCCCCCTCTGGTGGAGCGTCCCCGTTTGGAGTCGCGCAACCCTCGATACGGACGCTCCGGGGGCTATAAACCACCGACTCTGGCTCGTGGCAGTCGTCACCGAGAGGAAGCAGAATTCAAATCCTTCCCTCATTTTGACGCGCCGTTCCGGCACAGCGGCGTTCGATCTCCGCCACGCAATCATTAGGATGTCGACGTCTGCCCCCGCTATGCACCGCCCCCCTTTGAGACCGTCCTCTGGCCCAAGGTCTATGTCAGGATCTGGGGACGGACGGGTGCCTCGGTTGTAGTCCGAGCGATATTGGACACAGGCTCACAAGGTTGCATAGCCTCGTCTTGGTTGGTAGGGCAGACTGGCCAGACTATTAAAAGGTATTCAGATGTAATAAGAGGTGTCGGGAACGCCCCTGTGGCCACGGTTGAGGGCCGCATTTGGTTTGATTCTCCCCCCTCAAATTCTCCACGCCGACGTTGGGATCGTCCGCCATTGTGATGGAGAATATCCTGGGCAGCCACCCGCAAGTTCGATTGTCTGCGGATGCGGTAAAATTGACCGCTGGTTGAATTTGGCTGACCCTAAACTTGACCTACCTGGCACGGTAGATTTGTTGCTTGGTGCCGATGTTCAGGCAAACGGTAATTCACCCTGATGATCGACAATATCAGTTGATATTGTGGCGGGAAAACCCGAAAGATCCCATGCTTGTTTACGAGCTCAACACGAACACATACGGGCTACGGTCTAGCCCCTATTTGGCCATACGCTTGCTTGGGAGCTCGCGGATCGAGATCGTATGTCGTTTCCTCGCGCACCCGCCATTTTGAAGGAGGACCTATATGTTGATGACATATGCACTGGCGCGTCCACGGAGAGAGAGACTCTCCTTTTGCGTGACGAGTTGATTGGAATACTAGCCTCCGCAGGATGTGAGTTGCGTAAATGGATCTCCAACTGGCCTGCGCTCTTGGATGGGCTACCATGTGACCACCGACCGATGAACCAAAATAGACGAGATAGTACAAAGACTAACGGGAAATCTAATGTTGATTTAAAATTAAATTGATTCAATTAGCCAATTCCCGAACAACCAAGTCAAAATGTCTACAGGTTGCGAGAATTCAGTCGGAATTCTTAAGAGCAGCTTTTCGTTGTCTTCGCTGCGATCTGCGCAGGCGCCACCAAGTGGCGCCGGTGACCAGCTCGAGCGGCATTACCACAGCCTTCCTAAAACGGTCAAGGCTTACCTGTGCGTTTTTGTCTGTCTATCCACCAAGGCGGTACATTTGGACCTCGTCTCAGCCCTCTCTACAGAGACCTTTGTTGCGACGTTAGATAGATTCGTGTCACGACGAGGATTACCCTCCTTGATTCGGTCGGATTGCGGCACCAACTTCAAAGGCACAACCAACTATTTAAAAGATATGTGATTTTTTGGAGTCTAACAAGACTGAAATTGCGTCTAGATTAGCTAGTCGCAGAATAACTTGGAAGTTTAGTCCCGCGTCATGTCCCCACTGGGGAGAAATATTTGAAAGCGTGGTTAAGGTTGCCAAGACACATTTGCGACGAGTAATTGGTGAGTCTGTATTGACAATTGAAGAACTCGCAACTGTGTTTTGCGTAATTGAAGCCGTTTTGAATTCACGCCTGTTATGCCCGATCTCTTCAGACCTTAACGTCTTGGAAGCCCTCACACCGGGCCATTTTTTTTTTTTGATTGGACAGCCACTGAACGCCCTGCCGGAAACCCCTTTGTTGATGTGAAACCCAATCGTCTCTCGCGGTTTGAATTGATCCAACAACTCACTCAGAGTTTTTGGAAGCGTTGGAATTTAGAATACTTGCACATTCTCCAGCAGCGCGTTAAGTGGACTGAAGGACTGATCCACCTCATGTTAGTGACCTCGTTCTGGTTAAGGACGCTAACTCACCGCCACTGTGTTGGCGCAGAGGGCGCATTCTTAACCTTGTCTTTGGAGCAGATGGAGTGCCCCGTTTTGCTGAGGTCCGTGTGGACGGTTCTGTTCTGAAGAGAGCGGTATCAACCTTGTCATGACTGCCAGTAAATTAGCGGCCAGGTAGTCCTGGCCGAGGCGGGTAGATGTTATGAACCAAACTATTGTATGCGCACGCAAAACCCTAAGAGTCTGTGTCACATCATTTTGACTTGACAGTGACAACTGTCACTTCGCCAATGTTGCGCCGGCGACCCCGGCGGTCGCCCTTGCCGTTTGACCTTTTGAAAATATACGCCGCGTGTTTGATTCATCTCGGGAATTTTGCCCTTTTTTTGTGATGGTTTTGTGTGCGGCATATCTAAGATTGGATTGTTGAATAAGACGTGTAAATAACATATTGATAATTGTAATTTTGATGAGCACGGGCCCGTTTTGAGTGCATAATTGAATCGCCCACGTGCCGACGTAAAACTTGTGAAATAAGAATCAATTGACTTTATTTTGAACTTATATGAAAGTGAACTGACAATTCAGTGTAAACTTGTGCGTATTTGAGTGCCTACGCCGTATGTCGGCCTTCTAGGCGCATCCTGGAGCATCTTCATCCTGCCACCTTCAGTTGAGTATAATCAGTTAGCATTAGACGTTATGATTGGCCAATTGTAGTTTAATGGTAATTAGATTTATACCTAAGGCAGCATCATTGAAGGAGAAGAACGCAAGGTACTTTTTTTTGATATATATAAGCGCTGTGTATCGCAGTCATATGTTCGTCCCCCTTGAACCTGGAGACATTTCACGCTTCCACTCATCACTCTGGTAAAACCCCAGGTCGGATGTAACAGTAATATTGTGAAAGTGTCATCTACATACCGCTTGTAGAAACGAGGGGTCACAGGTGATGTGTTTAGGGCGGTCTCCTCGAAGGCCTCCATGAAGATGTCAGCTACAACGGGAGAGACCGGCGAACCCATGGCCACTCCATCCACTTGCTTGTAGAATTCATCATTCCACAATAGATAGCCAGATGTAAGGCAGTGTTTCAAAAGTTCAGTGTATTCTTCTTGCATACTATTATCCCGTAGCTTTCTTGATACTATTTTGACACAGTCCTCTACTGGTAGGCTGGTGAATAGAGACTGTACATCAAAACTGACCATAGTTTCATTGTCCATGAGTTGTAGGTGTTTTATCTCATTGACAAAATGGTACGAGTCCCTTGTGAACGCTGATGTTTGTCCTCTGAGTGTTGAGAGTACTTTCGCTACTAGTTGGGCCAATTTATAAGTCGGTGTGTCGATTTGACTCACAATTGGACGTAGCGGAGCGTTAGGTTTGTGTATCTTTGGAAGTCCATACAGTTTAGGCGGCTTTGCACAAGATGGAGCAAGATTTTTGACATCAAGATTCAATGCATCGGAGTGTTTCTTAATCAGCTTTTTAGTATTATTTAACACAGTGGTGGTTGGGTCTGTTTTGACCTTTTTATATGTACTTTCATCCGACAAAAGTTGTTTAATTTTCTCATTGTAATCTGATGTATCCATCACGACGGTGGCATTTCCCTTGTCTGCGCGTAGTATGATAATGTCTGACCTGCTGCGTAAGTTCTTCAACGCTAAATACTGTTGTTTGTTGAGATTAGGTTTGGGCCTTGAACTACGACGTAACAAAGATGAAACATCTTGACGTATGGCCTCCATATCCTCAGATTTCATAGTATTTTTGGCCAGGGCATCTTCAACCGCACAAATAATGTTTTCATATTATGATCTCCCGCGATAAAAAGTAAGTAAAAGCCTACGTCACTCTCCAGCTCTCCAACTATCTCCACACAAAAAATCACGCCAATCCATCACTCCGTTTCGATGTGAAAGAAGGAAAAACAAACAAACAAACTTTCACATTTATAATATTAGTATGGATTTATATATTTATGTACTCATTATTTATTTTATTATTATTATTATAAGTATTCTGTTTTGTACTAATCGTATCATATTTACATATGTATGTATGTATGTATGTATGTATGTATTTTTTATTTTTCTACTATATTGTTCACATTCCTTTCCTCTTACAGTTTGTCAATTCCAACACCTTAAGGTTGCCTGCAAGGGATCACTCTTTTAGCGATAAGGTTGCCTCTTCTACATAGCTAGCTCTTTTTTTTGCATTTTTTCTTGTATTTTTTTTGTGAGTGTACAATAAACAGTATTTTTTAATATTATTATAACGATAAAAAGTAAGAAATATCTTTATTCATATGATAAAAAAAATACATCAGTTCATTGTTTTATAGAAACAACGTGATTTTTTTAATGGTAAGTATTTTTTAAAGTGCAATTTAACACAATTTCACATTTATAAATCTAGTTATATGAATGAAGTACCAAAATAAGTTTGTCCTTCAGCCGTCAGCTTAATATATAAAAAGCATTTTCTAGTAATAATATATCAACAAATATGTCCCAAAGTAAAAGTAACGCGAAATGTTTAATGAGTATATCTTCTAAAAATATTAAAGTTATTTTGTTTCCATTTTATGTACCATACTTGCTATGCGGTCTCCCAATATCACGATTTTTATAAGGTCATCCAAGTTACTCCAGATTTTATATTATAAAGATTATGGTATCTTTTTAGGCAGCACAAGCGCACTGTATTAGAATTACGTACCAATTTAATTATAATTAAATATTTACTTACTAACAAAGTTACTTCAAAATCGCTTAAAGAACCAACCATTAAGTGCCACACGCTTTTGCACTTAACATTAATCTAATACTTAAGTGGCTTATAATTTTAATATTTAGTTTATTTTTTAATGAAATTGTAATTATCCTATATACGTTTTCAAATATTGTTATTGTATACTTGCGATGTACCTTTTCGCTTCGACCCTTATATACCACTTGTCAAAAATCTCATAAAACTTTTATGCACTATTCGACGAAAATATTTTGTTTTATCTTGTTTTTTGTGCTGAATTTCCATATCCGTAGATTCTAGCGGCTAGAATAAGTTATCTGTTGCTAAAAATAGAGAAAGAATACGTGTCTACTTATTCCGACGTCAATTTAGTAATTAAATCTAAATACCGACTCTCCCTCAATCCGCTCGGGTTTGTCCCTATGTACGTTTTAACGGTTAGTATGGAAACCCTTGCTCTATGAAAAACAAAAAAAAAACTATCGCACGGGAACCGTACATATTTCCGGGATAGTAAGTAATCTATGTACTATTCCAGACAATAATCTATCTCTATGCCAAATTTCATCCAGATCCGTTCAGCCGTCCAACGAAGCTTTCGCACTTATAATAGTACTAAAAATTGAACCAGTTTAATCTACCTTATTAGATATTAGCAGAACCCGCGGCTTCGCTCGCGCTAAAATTACAAAACAACTCTAAAATATTAGGTTTCATACAAACTTTTATCTCCTATTTTATCCCCATAAGGGATGAATTTCGAAAAATGCTAAAACACGTATTTCTTTAACTGTACTGAAGAGCATTAATACCAAGTTGCAAGTAATACTGATAATATTTTTTTTGTTGTATATATTATAGCGTGCTTTCCCGTGGGAGTGAGATATTCTTCCGCGATAAAAAGTAGCCTATGTCACTCTCTAGCCCTTAATCTATCCCCGCACAAAAAATCACGCCAAACCCTCACTTCACTTCGACGTGAAAGAAAGATGAACAAACAAACAAACACACTTTCACATTTATAACATAAATATGGATGTAATAAAGATATTCTTAGTCTGATATGCAGTGTCATGTAAGGTATTAGTTACGTTTGAACACTGACACCCTTAAAATACACAGGTTTATCTTTCAAGGATAGGTTAAGATATCTTTAAGACAATTTTTAAAACAAGTTTTAAATGAAATTATTTGCTTAAAATTTCGTTTTAAATATGAAGGACTCTCATTTACCATAACTCACTTGACATATTTAACTAATAAACCAAATTACAAAATCTGAGAAATACGCTTTATGTTAATTTCGAGTG